AACAGCTTCTCATAAAAATACAATCGCCGTTCGGAGTCGGCGTAAAACTGTAGGTCCCTCCGCTTTGTGTGACAACATCAAGGCGCACGCCACAAATCGGAGGAGAAGCTCGGCCAAACACTAACATATGTGTAAGCGCCAATCTATTATTATTATTATACATATGATTGATATGATATTGTATGTATATACTGGTTTACAAAAAAAAATTTCTGCATATTGTTCCAAAGCTCTATATATCTGTGGTCATAAGCAATAACCGCCTAAGTCGACTTAAGAAAGAATTGAGTTGTATACGCTTGGTATTCTGCAACTACTATTCCATGTGTATGTGACATCCCCAAGTCGCCAGCCAGGCTATTTAAAAAGTTAACATTAAAATTCAATTTGCTCTAAGTCAGGTTTTTCGACTTAGGCGGTTATTGCTTATGGCCACAGATATGTACCTATGTTATTCGACGCCCTGAATGCGAATCAGAGGTATGTTAGCCCACTTCACGTCAAGTTCGAGGTCATTTGAAGGTCAAGTAGGGAAAAATTCATTGAATAAAACTTAAAATTCAATACGATTCTTCTGAATTTGACCTTGGCATGACTTGTAGATGATCTTGAGGAATCATATGGGGTCCGCATTGAGTATAAATAAATAATGAGAATAAATTGTTTGTTCTATTTGACCCTCAAATGACCTCGAACCTGACGTGATGGGGGCTCGCAGACCTCGAATTCGCATTCAGCGCATCGAATGACATAGGGATATAGAGGTTTGGTTCAATATGTAGAACCTTTTTTTTTTTTGTTGTTAACCTCTGCTATTAATGAAATCATATGTATGCGCATTTGTGTGGAAATTATAGGTTTGTTCCACAATCGACTTGTAGAAAAACTAGAGCAAAGTTCAAACTGTCAACGTATATGAAACGAAAATTTATAACAAAGAGCAACAAACTAACAGCCGGTTTTATCAGCAATTTAAATGGAAAATGTTTTTTATTTTCTGTCAATTTCCAAATAAAATTCAAAAAGTTAAAACCATTTTTCACTTACATTGCTTTCGTGAAATTGGCTGTAACAATTAAGTGAAAAAGGTGATTTTTAGAAATTTGGTGTTCAGTGGCGATTTTCAATAACGATATGTCAGACAAATCTTCGATAAACGACTATTTTTTCTTTCCATTTGCTGTGGCTTTGGCTCAGAAGTTGATTATTTCCAGCCGGCGATCAAGTCCTTTCAACCACAAAATAGCATTATTATTATTATTTTATTGTAACTAAGTTTTTATTATTTATTTATTCCTTTTTGATATTCATCAATATATTTGTGCAATTAAATTTTAAATAGAAAACACAAAATCACTTCGAATATATCTGTGTTCATATGGAAAAGTAGCTTATGTCGAAAGGCTGGCTTTAGTATAATGCGGCATTCCCTTTACTCTTTAAACGGCAAGGAATTTTTTGATGAGACTTAATAAGAATATTGACTTGCTAGTATCGGAACTAGTTCTTGCACGTTTATTTGCCAAAAGTTCTACAACAGCTCAGCGCCAGTGAGTCATTCGCAATCGTATGCTGCGAATGCCGATTTATACTAAAGCCAGCCTTTCGACATAAGCTACTTTTCCATACGAACACAGATATGTATGTATGTAGATATTTCGGTCCTCAGCTTTTCCAATTAGGCAACTTTAGGTTGCTTTTCGTCGCATATGTATATGTCTGGCACATTAACTTAACCTTAACCTTCTCATAATAATCTAAAATATATGGTTTATTTTACAATTTTACGTGAAAATTCGCAATTTTGTTTATCATTTGTATAGGATTTTGCCACTTCGTCTTTGTCTGCTATTCGTACGGCTTCTTTCATGACGTCACAGCATGGCCTAAGGCGCAATCTTCGTTTCTATCATTCTTGATAGTTAACAACGACTACCTCGCCGTCAGCTAGGTTTACGTGCTTCCCTGAAGTTTCTTTTATTAGTGACGATATATGTATGCATTTTACTTCAAGTGCTTTAAAAATTTTAGAAGCAATAATACAAAATCGTAGGAGAAATTCGGCCAGGCACTAGCAAATTTTAAGCGCCATATGTGTATTTGTTTGTTTTCTGTACACATACTGTCATTTGAAATGCAAAATGACGTAACAAACATCGTCGCTGAAATGAAAAAAGTCGTAACTAATAGAAAATTCAAAATTCACTTTCTGATTGATATGATGGATTTTATCAGATTACAACTCCTCGCATCGTTTTATGAAGAAGAAATAATAATTACAAATCATGACTTTTTCGATTTCTGTGACGATGTTTTTGTTACGTCGTTTTGCATTTCAGGTGACGATATGCACATACATACATACATACATACGAATTCATTCGAATGCGATTTCACTTTGTTGTCTATGAGTCAGTCACACAATGCTTTTATTATCAGCGACTTGCCGGGGATTTATTTCGATTCATAAGCGCTTAATTTTCTTGCTTTTGTTTCAGCATCCAAATTATTGATAAGGAAATGGTGATTTACTTTGCTAAATTCCAAAATGAGGAAAGGTTGAAGTAAATACTAGGTTTTTTTTTCTATTCTTTATTATTGAAACGTATGTAAGTATGTACATTAGACTGCATCACCAAAAAAAGTTGCGGTTTTTCCGCCGGGATTACAAAATTTATTATATTTTACGACGTCCACCAAAATATTTCGGAAAAATATTAAGATTTAAGCGAGCTGGTCCGATTTGAAAATACCTTCAAAAATGGAGATTTTTATGAATCAAAATAGTTTCTTAAAGAACTCTTTGAAAAAAGTCCCCTCAGATGACAAAACAGCTTAAAAAATCTGAATAAACATATTTAAATATCTTTTCAATGGAATCGTAATAATGACATTTTTGATGCTNTCAAAAATGGAGATTTTTATGAATCAAAATAGTTTCTTAAAGAACTCTTTGAAAAAAGTCCCCTCAGATGACAAAACAGATTAAGCTTAAAAAATCTGCATAAACATTTTTAAATATCTTTTCAATGGAATCGTAATAATGACATTTTTGATGCTGTTTTTTTTTTTTACTTTTTCAAAGATTGATTTACGAAAAAGTTGAATAATTGGGCCAAAACTATTCTGATTTAGACTGATGGGATCTCAGTAGAAAGGTTTTTTTCCACTATTTTTATTTGTGTGCAAAAAAAGGCATTCGTGTCCCAATTTTTTTTTCAAATACCAACACATCTTAATTCAACTTTGGATGATGTTCGTTCATCCTACCTTTCTCTTTCATCCTTTGAATGAGCTTATTAGCAAAGAAATAGAAAGGGTGAGAAAATACCTTTCCAATAATACCCCACAAGTCTAAATCGGAAGAGTTTAGGTTCAGTTATTCAAGTTTTTCTTATACCAATCCTTGAAAAAAGTTAAAAAACAGCATCAAAAATCTCATTATTACGATTCCGTTAAATATATATAT